CCGTATTGTGCTCATATGGTGTGAAGTGAAAACGTTTACCTACAGAATATATATGTCAATGAAATAGTAAATATAATGACAGTAATAGTAATAACTTTAGCAGTAATAATGATAATGATACAATAAGAAGAATACAGAATCAATGATGATAATAACGATCACAAAAACAAACCCCAATGACAAAAATCAGAGCTGATAACGAAGAGATTCCTTGGATCGGCGACATATTTGGCGAATATTTTACCGTAATTTGTCTGCCTCGACGATGACAGCGAACCAACCAGTATCGGCACAACACCGTAACTACCAGGCGTTCGACTGCAAATTCAGTTCCAAGCCAACAAATTCCAAAAAAAAAAAAATTCCAGCGATACGCCAATCTCAAGCGATGATTTGACATGGCATTCAGTTGCGAGGAAAAACACTTTACCGATCAATGGGATTTAAACTCGCCACACTGATAGTATCGAGACTGAGTAGTCAAGCTATGATTTGTCTCGTACCTAATTATCTACTCAAGATATGATTCGATCAATTCAATTCACAAATAGAACAGTTCATCAGGAAATTAAAAATCTTTATGTTTGAAGCTACTAAATGAGATGAAATCTGCGAGAAGGATGCACTGCACAGAGTCACATCAGATCGCAAACAATCAATCATATTTTGCCAGGAATCTTTGATTATTGTGGACCCCTTATGGACTCGTAAAGAGCCGACGGAGGCACTGCTTGCCTACCTAATGACCGAAACGATGTATACGGCGAATATCAGCCATGTTCTTGCGAGCTACTACTCTATTTGATAATGTTGCACAGTTGTAGTTCTCAGAACTGGGAGTTTACAAACGAACACCTGAGAACATGAATAATCAATCAGGAACAGTGTAAGAGAATGTCGATGACTAATGATTACTTTTCCATAACTTTAGCGATGAAAGGTAGTTGCATTTCGAGACTATGTTCAGCCTCTTCACTGCGAAAATCCATCATGTCGAATGAACCCGTATCGCGTAATTCTGCGTTCACTACAAAACAATATTCCCTTAGCGATCGATCGCTATTCACACACTCATCAACAAACACTTCAAAGATTATTATTTTCAATAACACACTCATATAATATTTATATGAATCCATCCATGTATTTCATAAATTCATTACGTTGTTTGAAGGCAAATATTCCGTCTAAAATACGATAATCACAGTGCAATTCAGAAGACCAACATCATCTCACTCAAATAATTGGCTTCACAAAATGAATCGCCTCAGAATTTCACAACGATCGCGTTATGTTAACAAAAATAAGTTATGTGGTAAGGTAATTGAATACAGTATACCTTTCTGGTCAATATAGAGATCACCTAGTGGAGTACGATAACGTGAGCATGTTGATAGTGCACATCCGTTCAGGCATACCACGTGTGACGG